AAAAGATAAAGAATATATTTTAGGCAGCGTGACGCTCTTGCGGACGTTATTTTCGCGACGCGCTTACCGTTTCGGCGCAAGATACCGAAATCCGACATTCAGAAATATGTCATCGGCGTTTATCGAGGCCAGACATCGTTCGCGTTGGCAATGCGATGCCGAATCGGATGTGGTATGTACGAAACACCATCTGTCATATCGGATTGTTAACTCGGTTATAGCTCACGCATATCAAATCGTTCGGGGTGCAGCTTAGTCCGGAATGGGCAGAGCGCGGTAATGCGATTTGGATATATAGAGAGTCCTGTGGGATATTATCGGCGTAGAACCTTTTCCCCAATGATACGATAAATGATATGCATATGTAAATATCGTGACCGCGCAGTGCGAGTCACCCTACATGCGCAATAGACCGGTAAAAAATATATCTCCGAACCCTGCTCGCTTCCCGCCACAACACATCTTAATAAATTATTTAACTTTCACTGCACAAAAAACATTTGTAGTACTTTATTCTTATTTTTTAATAAATCATATTACATTTGTCCTGATTATAAATGGTATTACACGAAAAAAATTATTTTCTAGAAGATTTATAATTTTACTGGCTACATACCTAAAAATAATTTTGTTGGATCATCAAAATAATTATGTTGGAAACTAGAAAATAGCAATGCTGTAAAAAATTGTGATATTATCAATCAGTTTGAGTTCCCTACAAAAAATTATTTTCAGATCTCTATCCATTAAAATTTTAGATTTTTTTAGCAAAATCATTCTTTTCGTGTAATAACAATAAAAAGATCTATCATCAAATAACTTTTGGTATAATAAATTTTATGGAGGAATGATAAACTTGCGCGGCAAGTAATAAATTCATTTTGTGCTTGTTGTGATCGAACTGTTGAGATAATATTCGTGCAACGCGACAAGAAATTCAAACGCGCCTAATTTTCTCTCACGGGGTCCTATCGACGATGCCAGGATGATCCCGTTAACAGGATCAAGACTCACGCTAGGCGAAGGGTTCTTGTTATTCGCAATCGCCTTCGCACCCGATCCTTGGGGATCGCAGATCCCCTGTATTTATTTCCCGCTACTTCATGAGAATCATCCTAAAGAGTAGGATGTTCATTTGTGGCTTCACAATAAAAGAAATTATTTACTTCTGCTTAAATGAGATTTTATCACGAAATATATTTGCAACGTTTTAAATGATACACTTTTTGATATATGTTGCGAAAATTAAAAATAAACTAAAATTTACTTGACATACATAAACTAATGACATGCGAAAATATATAGTTATTAGGTATTTTAAGTAGTATATGTTATGCAGAAAAGTCTACTAACTTAATTAAAGATGAAACATCTTTAATTAATTTTAATTATTTATGACTTATAAACGTAATGTAAAAATTATTATTAAATTATCGTTCAGAATTTATAAATTCAAGTAAATATTAATTATATTACTTACTTTATTTTCCGAAAAATTTTTGCACATAGTACAAAATTATAAACTTGTTAATTTTATTTTCACACCTAATATTAATTAAAAGGAAATTAGATAAACGAGGTTGAGCGTAATGAATTAAATGACGGAGCGACGTGCTCACTTCCGTGAGGCGCAGACTTTTGTTTTTCTCTGTACAATGTAATTAAAAATTTTCATCTCGGAAAGAGAGATCTCTTTAAAACATTCATCCGCCGTCTGATATAAAAAAATAATCCACATTCTTTATTTTGGATCCTTACGGAGATCGAGGAAAAGTTTTGATTCAACGATTATGTCTCTCTTAGTGCACAGTTGCGCAAAGTTGCAACTTTACGAGGCGTATGATGAAGCGATGGGCCTAAATTCTCAAAGCTATTTCGCAATTCGCTCGTTCTTATATAGACATCAAGTTGAAGAGACTTCCGCCTCTTCATCTCGAGCACGCCTTTATCGTCAGACTAATGATTTGCAAACAGTGTCTTTCAGCCCGTTCCTCTCGTTACGAAGTTTTCAACAGACGTTGGTACATGAACAAGGCAGACATCTTGAAACTTTCGAAAAGTAAAAGACAAAAGTAAAGGAAATCTCACCTACCATGAGCTCCGTTTATGCCATTGTCCGAATTTTATTTGCTCAAGTGCTTTCTTAAATGTACTGCAAAGAGAGCGAGTTACTAAGATTATAACAAATGTATTCTAGTGAGTTATGTAACATTTAAATATATTGTACTATATTTTATTTATGCAATTCTCGTTTCCTTGCATTGTAAATAAAAATTTTATTTTCTTTATTTATTTTTATAGCTATACTATAAAGTTTTTTCTTTACAGAGATGCTATAATTAAGAAATTTAGTCAGAGATTTTTATTACAAAAAAGTATTTTTAGTTTTTAATTTTCTTTCAAGAATATAAATAAACAACAATAATATAATTCAATAGAAAATTAATATTTTTCATGATAAAGAGCAATAAGTAATTAAAATATTCTCTATATTCTGTATAATCAATATTCTCTATAACTTTCTTAATGACTGCATATAGAATATTTTTTATTACGTTATTTACTATTATTATTAAACTTTCTATTTCCACAATATTAAACTTTTTTTAAAGAATTTTTTTAGTTTATAAAGATTACATAATGCATTACATAACATACAATGTAATCAACAAAATAAAAAAATTTAAATAACGTTATAATTTAATAAAATAAATAACAAATTACGTGTTACGTAAAAATCTTTTTAATGTATTTATATATTCTTCATTTATATTTACTTTTACTGGCTTTCAAAAATTGTCCTTTATTTTATACACAATAGCGCCATCTCTTGAGGAAATAAATTATCCTTTGCCCTAACGTAGAGAGCATGATAGCAGTATTCTCAAAGGGAATGTACATACCATCCTAAGGTTAACAGTAAACGAACTATATTCTTATTTCTTACAGCTGCAGCTACAATCGCTAAAAACGCATTTATTAGATTGAAAAAAAAATGACACGTAACTTTACAATATGCCTTTTTCTTTTTACAGCGACCCAGCCAAGAGTGAAGATATCAAAGAAGACATTAGTTGCAACTGAAAAAAAATATTGTTAATTCAAACGAATATTAACAGACTCTTGATTCACGTATGCAGTACAAACATCTACAGAGAGAAAAGAGAAGACGTCGAGTTAAGCCAGATTCCGAATATCCTAGTTGATTGTGGAACATTATTAAAAGCTTCTTCTTTAGAAGAATTGAAAACACAAAAGTATTGGGAGAAAATTGTGATTACTCAGTTTAAGTATAAACAATAACTTGTAGGCTGACAAGAAATTTTAATTTACTTTCCTTTAATTTACTTATAAAAATATATCGCGCATACATAGTGCGCTTGCCATAGGTTTAACGTACTCGAAAAGTGCTGAAAGTTATTACTTCTGCATTGTAAACCAAAGTTAGTAGAAATAATATAAAAGTTAATAGAAATAATAAATAAAAATAAATAAAATTCTATATATTACAAGCGAGTTTAATATACTCAACAATTAAAAATGGGTTCATCATTAATGACAAATTAGTTGTGCCTAACCATAAATAATTATGCCTAAATTATAAATAAGCAAGTATATGATCTTAAGTATATTTTATCAACTCACGATTCGTATAATTTTATATATTTGTTTTAATATTTTAAATAATATCCGAGATGTGTAGTACAAACATCTACCTATATAAAGACTACATGCCAATAAATTTTTTCTCTATACGAACGTATGAATGACACAACAGAACACTGTGTTCATTATAATTAAAACGATCTCTATTATAATTAAAACGAAGAAACGTATCCGATCTGGTTCTGACAATTGATACTATTTAAGGTAATTAATTCCTGCGGATTTTTTGTTGCATTCTTATTGTGGATTTTCACTGTTTTCAGACGGACGGTAGTTCAAGGAATGAACGATCGATAATTTCGATAAAAAAAAAGAAACGTATTTAGAATAATTTGTAAATGGATTCTATCCGAATTCTTTCTCGTTTCAAGTCGCTACGTTTTTGATAGCTTATCGAATTATATACGCTTATAATTATACTGGTTTTTTTTTTTAATTATTTAATTGGTATCATCAATGGCTGTTATTTCTTTTTTCAGTACGTAGATATATACATATATCTTCTCTTCTTTTTTTCATTGTTTTACACTGATTATGCGTCGTTTTCGTTCATTACGAATGTCACAATCTACAATGTATGTTCATTTGTTGTACAAAAAACATTTGTTGAATTATTTATTATTAGATACTTATCGATACGTGAGAGAGATTGAATGTAAATTTATATATCAGAAATATATATAAATTGATGTTTTGCACTCGAGATATTTATGTAATAAAGGTTTGCGATGATGTAGCATGACAAAATTTTAATAGCAAAATACGTTGAAAAGCGACAGGTATACAAAAGATATTTCACTCGATATTTCAGTCAATTATACATACATTATGTAATACGTAATTGATTGTATGTAAATAAATATATTATAAAACGTATCATTTTGTGTGTATATGTGTATTGCAATATAACTAAGATTTTAAAAGTATAGATATAGCCGAAAGTTTGATTATAATTTATATAATACAAAATGCTGATAGAATGCAAACGCATCGCTCATGTCTTTTTTTCATTACGCATTGCACGTAACGAAAATTTAAATAGACAAAGTTCCAATATTAATTACACTTGAAATACATTTCTATTGAGGAAATAACACAGGTGTTCGAGCCAGGTATGTGAATTGATAATTGTAGAATCAAGTGTTGAACAAAATTGTGTAATGACGTCGAACACATCTGCGTGTTTTCGAAAGTATATCTTAATAATTGGATGTACATACATAATGTGTGCCCATAAATGAATTATATTCTTATTTATTGATAGTATCATGGTCAAACAGTTCGATAAAGTATATAAACTGTCTGCGCGAATAAAATTTTACTGAAGAAATCGATCCCTTGGTTACGAGGTAAGAACCAATATACTCTAATGATCAATTTATTTTGTATTAAAATCGATATAATTTTGATGGCAATTTTTACAAATAATAATATTTTTGGATTATAAATTGTGATATAATCACATATTATCGTGACGGATGTTTATTTCCAAGACGCTCGTTAAATACAACTTGCGCGTGTACATATACTTGTGTAAAAATAAAAATAAAAATAATATATTTTGTTAAGTAATATAAGTCGCATATTTACGTTTGTCGACAAATTTGCAGATGAATCGTTGGATATTGGTTTTTGCGGCGTTAGCTGCTTTGGCTTCGGTTGCCAACTCAGCAAGTAAGTATTACATATGTGTGGGTGTGTGCGCGTGTATGTGTATTGATTAAGGAAATAAATTTAAAAAAGAATTATACAATTTTAAAAAGATATGAATATGCATATTAATTGCAGTAACATTTTTCTAAACTCTTTCAGAGAATGTTGTATGCTACTACAGTAGCTGGGCTGGTTATCGAAATGGTAATGGCAAATTTGACATCTCAAATATTGATCCGACTCTTTGCACCCATATCATTTATAGCTTTGTCGGCATAAATCCGGATGCCAGCATCCGAATTATGGACCCATGGAATGAGCTTGCCGACAATTACGGCTTGAACGGTTTTGGCAAATTAATCGCTCTTCGTAATAGTAAGAGCCCTAGCACTAAAATAATGGTCGCTATCGGTGGATGGAGCGAAGGATCCACGACATTCTCTACTGTCGCCAACAATCCGACTCTTCGTAAAACATTCGCCAAGAACGCCGCTAAATTTATGGACCAATATGGTTTCGATGGTTTCGATGTCGATTGGGAATATCCGAACCAGCGTGGTGGGAAACAAGGAGACGTAAATAACTTTGTGGAAATGCTCAAGGATTGTAATACCGAATTAAAAAAGAAAGGAAAGATTCTCAGTATTGCCGTTGGTGCTACCGAGTCACTTGCCAGTTTGTCTTATAATCCAATCAGCAAGATAGCCCAAAATGTGGACTTTATCAATCTTATGACATACGATCTCCACGGTACTTGGGACGGCGTCACTGGTCACCACGCTGGGCTTTATTCGTCCACGAGCGGAGACAAACTCACCGTCGTGAGTGTTCCCGAATCTGATATTTGAAATTATTGAATATTAATTTCTCGTTTCCATTGAAAAGTTCAAAGAAAACATTTATTTCTCTAGCACTCAGCGGTACTCTATTGGTTGAACAAGGGTTGCCCGCCTGAGAAACTAATCCTTGGAGTGCCATTCTACGGTAGGGCCTTCACTCTCTCCAATAATAAAAATAATGGCATTGGAGCTGCTTCCTCTGGACCAGCTACACCCGGCCCGTATACTCAAGAGGGTGGCTATCTTGGATACAATGAGATTTGCGAAAAACTGAACCAGGGAGGCTGGACTGTTATACACGGTGATAAGGAAAAATCTCCTTATGCTTACAAGGGCAATCAATGGATTGGTTATGAGGATCCACAGTAAGTATACTGATGTACTGATGTAACTTTCCTTTTCATTCCTTAAATTCGTATGGCAATTATTTTTACTAACAATATATAATTTTTTATAATATAATTTTAATAACGCCGTCTCTTTTTCAATCCATTCAATCCATTGACATGTTTCACTGCACGATATATTATATAATATAATAACGTGTACTATATACGAAGTATTTCGTTTTAATATTCACATAGAAATATCTCGAAAAGTAAGTATAAAAGATACGAAAAAAGTTTTAGATGGAAATGAAACGGTTTCAAAAGGGATGTATTTTGGTTACGTTGTTTTTCCTCTAAATGGAGGCACCAAAAAGATATGAAAATAACTTTCACTTTTTTAAATAAAATTATATGATTCTTTAATATAATATAATTTCTCTAATTATTCTGCATATAAAAGTATTAAAGTTGAAATATCAAAAAATCAACAGTTTACGAGATATTTTATATCCCAACAGAACTTGCGGCGATATTGCTACAATATTGTAATTTCTTCTGGCACATATTGACATGAAATATTAAATATCTCGCAAACTGCTAATTTTTTTATAATCGTATACTTTAATATTTTTATGAACAGAATAATTAAATTAATCAATTGGTGTAAAAAAATATATAATACATTTTAAAAATTATCCATTTCGCCTACAACTTTTTTTAAAACAATTATATGTTTTTACAGATCTATGCTAGTAAAAGCTCAATACGTCAAAGACAAAGGTCTCGGAGGTCTAATGGTATGGAGTATCGATACTGATGATTTTAGAGGAATTAGCGGAACAAAGTTCCCTCTACTGAAAGCAATGAACGCAGTGAAGAAATAAGTCTGGTAGAATCAAGATAAACCAACCAAGAAACTACCGCAAACGATGCAACTATAACAAACAATGCCTCCACATATAACTGCACCTTCCAGTGATATTTGTAAAAAAAAAATTACAATTTGCGATAAATAAAGTTACGATATATTCTACCTATGCCGAAATATCAACGGCGCTTTCTAAGTACAAAAATTCAATTGCCTAAACGGACTAGCTTTCAATCCCTAAATCAATGATTGTAATTACAAACATCTCGTTCCTGAATATAATTAACGATAATAGACGGTAACAAATGGTCATGTTGTACTATTCTATGACGTTTCTACTTGTTATACGACGTGAAACGTAATAAATAGATATGCTTTATAACTTGTGTACAGTCAAATATATAAACCTATTTCTTTACATTCTTTTCCTTTGTAATAATGTATAATGTTTATTTGCATGTATTAAGAAAAAAGCGATATTATGGTCAGTGTAGACGTAATGGCCCCTCTTAATATCTCCTCTATTATCTAGGTGGCGAATTTTGATGATTACTTACATGAAATTATTTAGTTAGTAACTTGCCATTATATCATGACGCTAATATGCCAATATAACACAATAGCTAGCATTTAATTTTATTTTAAATAGCGTCAAATTTTAGAAATTTTTATGACATTGTAGCATCAACAGCAAATTTTTTCTCGAAATTTCATTAATTTTTAATATCTAAATGTATGCATAATCAAATTTTTTTTAATTATCGGAACAACCGATAAATATCGATAATCAATCTTACATCAACGATAATTATCGATGGCTATTGATAATTATCTTTAGAGCTGCCATGGCATACAAAAAAAACTTAAGCAGTAAAACGTATAAGCAATAAGCGAATTGGTCAATCACAGAAAAGACCATATAGCCATAATGTAAGCAGTATTCAATCCAACATGTTAATTTCCTTACTGCTTACGTTTTACTGTTTAATTCTAGAATTGGAAAGAGATGAGAAATAAGTTGAACCTCAGTTAAGAATTAACCGTAAGTTATGAAACTGGGCCTAAGTGTTTTTTGTACCATGGTACAATTACCTTACGAACCACAGAATCTAATGTGAAACGTGACTTATGTGACGCAAGTAATCGAATACTCTGTCACATATCATCTCTCTTTTTAATTATGTCCGGAAAAATATGATATGTTTTCTTAGTAATATAGTTGGAAAATAAAGATATGTCTACCTAATGTCATTTCTCAGTAAATGTGTTACAGTCGATAATGTAAATAGTTGCATACTTCAAAAGAAGAATTTTTAGACATCTTTCCGGAAAGTCTGAAAGAGGTATAAAAAATTTTTTAATAAAGTTTTAAAGATGCTCTTTTAAAAATATAAAAAACATTTTTTGGGAAAATCTTAAAAATATCTCTTTTAAAATGTTTTTCGAATGTCTTTTAGATTTGCATGTTGCCTAAAGTATGTAAACAGGATTGTGATCTTTTACTATAAGAATAGTTTCTTCTATCAAATTACCTCGTATTTTTTAAATAAACATTCATTACACACAACACACACACACACACACACACACACACACAAATACACACACAACAAACTGGATATAGTCTTCTGCTATAGAAATAGCTTTTTCAAACTCCCGCTTTATTTTTATCAAAAATCTATAAATAATGAATGTCTTGCATAAATCATAAAATACAAATTTGTTATGTATACAAATATTCAACAATTAATATTATATTTTACTACATATTTTTAATAAAAACGTTCTCTTTTACTATTTATAGTTTCTATTAATTTGCTACCAAGATATCATTTTGATCGTTATTTTTTAATAATAATTAAATTGTCGAGAAGTAATTTGATTTGATTTTAATTATAATATAGAATAAAGTAGATAATTTATGCAGATGACATCAAACCTTCCCATATAATACAGTTCTCTGAGGGATATCCTCTAAACGTCCTTAGAACATCTCTTGGAACTGCGTTATATGGTCATTTATGATCAAAAATCGTAAAATCGTGGATTTAATTGAATCAACAGCATTTTTTTCTCAGTGTGTATATATATATATATATATATATATTTATAACAAGCTTTTAATAACTATATTAAACTTTTAATAACTATATTATAACATTTAATAACTATATTAAAAGAATTACAATTTATTATATTGAATAATATTGTTATGCCCGTGTCGTGTCGATCCGTGCCGAAGATCACATCGCTCGATAATGAACCGCTCAGCTGCCTAGTTGTCAAACTAAGCTCATCAGATTTTATAGTGAAGACGTGTTTTTCCGCCTGAGCCTTTAATTTATCGTATTCACTGTTTTCTTTGTATTTAATGTATTAAATGTATTTTGTTGTCTATGTCTTGGAATAAAGAATCTCTTTCTGTATTATCCTTTTATTTCCGCGGCTCGGAAGTACACGTTCGCGAGTGCATTTTCGCGAATCGGTCGCACGGGCGCAACAATATTATACAATATTCTTTTATATTATATTAATTTTTTTAAATTTCTATTACCATTTAAAAATTTTTAGATTTTTTATAAATTCTTAAAAAGTTAGAGATATTCTTTTAATATAAGAATGTTAAGTATTTGTATACCAGTATACATAATATAAAAAATTGAAGGATTTTAATTGTTCTGCATTTTAACAAAAATGACTTTTTCGAAGCGTTATCAGTAACAAGAAACTCATTATTCACGCGGGTACGATCTATTTAAAGGAAACAGGTGATACTTATCAAGTGGAGAACGTGATATAGCACAATGGTTTCGACAGATTTAATCACGACATCCTTCTCATCCAATTAAACAAAAACATTGTCTGCAACAACGTGATAAAATTCATTCCGATTAAGCAAAAAGATATCGCTGTCGCAGATCTTTCTTGTATATATGGTTGAGGCATAACTTCAGTAAGTTTTTACCAACACAAAACATTCTTTCAGCTCAATAAAATTACACCACCCAACACTTTACAAGAAAGTTTTATTCCCCCCAGAAATGTAAGCTTTCATCTTCGACAGTAATCGACAATCACATCCGCACTCTCATCACGAATGGAGTGTGCTTTGTAAGCCATAACAAATTTGATATTATACAATCTTTTGATTTCATATTTAAAATTAATATAAAACTTAGCTAAATGAAATGGCCGTCAAATAATAGATTAATAAATTTCTTATTTAAATATAAAAATGCATTATATTAATTATTATATCATAAAAACGGCTATTAAACTAAAAGACTATACTACATAAATATTATAAAAAATTATATTTTTATATTATTATTGTACAATCATTCTACAATTAAAGAATTACAGTTTTGCAATGTTCTTGGAATATTACAGACATATTACTGACATTTTGCAGGCATATGGTTAATTTACATTTCTGTAATATCTCTGCAATTTTACATTGTAATCTGCAAATGTATTATACTAAATTAATATTCAATATTTTTTAGTATCAAAATAACATAATTTATAAGTAAATAAAGAAACACAAAAATAATGTATATTAAAACGTGAATTTTAAGATAAATGAATAATATATATGTTAATTTAATATATTATAAATGTTAATTTTATTGAAAATATACTTCCAATTTGTGTTAGTTCGCTTACAATTTGTATCAAAGTTACATTTTTTTGTTAATTTCTTTACATAATAATGTATTACTTTCTAACATATTCAGTTTGATACCTACACAGATGTGTCTAAAATGCATCATACAGATATCTTAAAGATATATGTGATATCTTTAGAATATCTGTCTGATTTTGGACATTTTTACTATGGGTATTAAATTAACATAAAAATTTGAGTTGACGTTTGGGATGAAATACATATATTAAATTTCACATTTTTCCAATTATAGGTATTTATATACATATAAATTTACAAATATTCTAAAACAGCACATTTCATCAATCATTTATATCTCACAATTTATTTACTGGCTTTGATAAAGGATTTTCTGATCATTTTCAATTTATGAAATTATAGCAATATGAAGGAGATACGAGGTATTTCATATGTATTGTTAATACATTGTGTAAATTTATAATAGTTGAAAATTTTATGTCGCAATTTCTAAATCATTGCTTCACGTACTCAAGATAAAAATTTCAGAATAAATTTCGTCTCAAAAGATAGAGATCTTTGCAGACACAATTCGATCACATGTTTAAGGCTTAGTCAATAATTATCGAAATCATTTTAAGAGAGTTCATGATTAAATCTATCGGATTAAATAAATTAATTCGTTTTTTGCGTCATATATATATATATATATATATATACATTACAAAATATATATGTTCTCTTGGTGAAGTGCTTAAAATGGTCTATATAAACGTACGAAGAAGATTCATTATTATTAGTACTGTACATACTTTCAATATGTACACGTTCTTTATTTTGATAGTCGCTTGTTTAGCGATAACCGCTCATGGTAAGCAAAAATAAATAAGATTAATTGTATTATTCAAATCAGTTTTCTTTAATTTACAAATTATCAATTAAAACAGTGAAATTATACAAAGTTTGAACCTTTGATATTTTCGATGATTGAAGTAAAACTACAAAATTTATACATTACTTTATAAGAAATCTGTTATTTTTTAAATGATATTATTTAAATAAATTTATTAACTATATTTTAATATGAAGATGTCAAAAATAGACCCGAATGATTTTAAAATAATAATTGCTAAACAATATTTCTAATATTTATTGACTTTTTTATAATGATTCAATAAATGGTTAAATTGTTTACATTTTTCAGACATTAACATTAAAAAATGTAGCATTGCACGTTATATGGGTAATTCTACAGAACTTTAAATTCTAGTGTC